CCGAATAGTGTATTAAGGATGAATTGAAACTTCATTTGGTCAGATTTAATTTGAACATTGCTTATTTGCTTTAGAGTCCTGAAAGATCATACACTTTTTCAAGTGCATTTCACTAAAGTACTTTCAATGTTGAGGAAGCACCTTGTGCTCTAAACACTATAGGTCAGTGTAATGCAAAAAGTCTTAAGAGATTAACCCACTAAGAAGATAATAGAAGAAGCAAAGACATTCTTAAATGTATGTCTATGTTTCACATTCAAGTAATTTAATCATAATTATTGCTTCACTGACATTCTTACTTGTCCTACATTTCAAAAAATGACGAGGCATCATAAAACATATTTTTTTTTAATGAGAGGGTAGAATTAGCATATTTTACCATATGAGTAAGAAAAAAAACTATGAGTTAAGGCGGTGCTCTTCAGGAGAGTCCAGGCTTAACGCCCCTAAATGAGCTGTAAGTGTTATCATTATGCTAATTAAACCTTTCAATTAATTGGCTCACTTCACCCAGAAGCTCATTGTTCTCTGCCCTCCTGAGCTATATATTATAAAAGGTTGGTAACCCCAATCCTGGAGCTTCAGTAGCTCCGCTAATGCTTCAGGTCGAGATCCAAAAAAGCAGCTAGGAAGGGCTTTTCCCTCCATGCTTTAATGGTGGTGCAAAACATTATTTCCATATGATGGTGGGTTTTGACAACAAAGATGATTTCAGGTGCAAATTCAATCGTCATGACTTACTTAGTAATATAGAGTTAGCACTAACATCTTCCTTGACCTCCATTGTAGCAGCTTGTTCTCATGGAATATGTCCCTCAGTAATGCCAACCTACACCCCCAAGGCACACTGTGATTGATGCTTCCAATCACAGTGTGCCTTGTCAATATTTGATGAGCGGAAAAGATTGCGTTTTCCATTTTCTCTCCTTTTTTCTGGATAGTCCAACTGCTATCAGGTCACACATTGAGCTCATGTAATAGCTGTCATTCCCGAATATTCTCCTTTGGCTTTAGTGATTTCTCATCATATTTTTTGCTAGAATTTGATAGTGAAAGAGGAGAAAATGGGAATAGAAGTTGCAGCATTTTGTAAAAAACAGAGAGAAAGAAAGACACACATGTGGATTTCCTATCAGTTGTGACATCTCGATAACAATATAAACAGTGGCCAACAAAGTGCAGGTGCAATACCAACATGCGTAAAAGAGTATTGTGAGAAAAGTCCCACATGAAAGAGTGAGAGTGTGTAGGTTGGGTATCACCTCCCACGGTTTGCTTAAAGGAAACCACTACCATTGGCTTTCAGATGTCTGCCCTGATATCAGATAGATGATTAAAGGATCTCATTGTGTACTGTTTCGAAAAAGAAGGCCTTGTTTGTTTTTTTTCATTACTCCCATTCCTCTTGTTCCTTTTCCTTTGTCTTGTCACACTGCTGTCTCATTGTATTAAGGTCACTCCTTTCCTTCTTGTATCTACTTACCTATTGGTTCACTCTGGTTGGTCTGATGCCTGTGACTGGCTCAGGTCTGGGGTTGCTGTATGTTATATAAGCTAACAAAGTCATTGAATCTGACTTACGTCCCAATTCCCTTGTCTTGTTAACTTCATTCCCTGCCATGTCCTCCTTACATCTCTTTTAGTCCCTTGTGTTTTTTAATGGTCATAATGGGCATGGTACCATTTTCCTAAGTAGCTATAAAATAGAAGCTAATAAAAAAAAAATAGATAAGAAAGGGAACGCATAACCATTCCAAATCACTCCTTCTGTTTTCCACTTTGATGCCTTTGCAAAAGTCTTCCTACTTATTCTCTTTCCCCTTCGCACTTACCTCTATATCTGCTAATCAATATTTCCCACGCTTTCTCCGGAACCAAAGGCAACTCCTGCTCTTTCGTTTATCATCATGCTCCTTTTTCGAAGTCCTCTGACGTCAATTATCTGATCATTTGGCTAAAAATAACAGGAAACACGCGAGGTCACTGAAGTGAGTGGGGGTAAGAATCAATAATTGTGTCCAATAGTGTTTATGATGAATCTGCAGTGAGGTCAAGGATTGGTGAAGAGCTGATGTGCTAATGAAACACCTAGTAGTCATGTCTGTAGTCCCTGGGTTTTTTCATCTTTATTTGTCTCATATTCTGTTTGCTACTGTTGGTAATGAAGCCTGAAAGAGAAATGTAAGAGTTGATAGGAAATGCTATTCTGCCTGTTGATCAGCACCATTTCGATACCTATGGGGTGGGCATCAGTACACAAACGGGCGTACTGATGTCAGCATTTTAATGATGTGAATTTATTACAAGTTTTTATTTTGATAGTCTAGGAGATAAGTAAGTAAATAGATAAGTAAATAGCTAATAGCTAACAGGGCAAGAAACAGAGGCGGTAAGAGAATCAGACATGTTAATACACCTCCTGATTAGTCAGACTTATTGGGACATTTTCAGAAAGACGTTCTGTATAAACCTGACTTGACATTCTGGATGAGGTGAATGGGACAGGCGAATGCTGGGGTTCTGAAAACAGCAATGTTCGTATGTAGTTTTGCTTGTTGAATTTAGCCACTAATCAACACATATTGCAGTTAAAGTAGTAGTGGCTGTGATACAAGGTTGATAGAGACCACTACACCTTAGAGCTAATAGCCACAATTTCATTCCACAACCATAGATTCAGTGTGTTTAGTTTTAGTTTCCAAGGATTATTTCTCAACTAAATGTCCTTAAATCAGTTTAGGAATCCAAGAAAAAGACGTTGCTATCAGCTAATTCAGCAAACTTCAGCAACATGCCCATACACCAAAAAGTAAACAAATATAGGCTGACAAAAGATGGTACATGAGGTTTTGCAAGGGTATGTGTGACATTGATGTGACAGGTATGTTGATTATGAAGATCGCACAGCATACACTACTATTAACTCTGTTGCAGTGAACATTAAAGGATCTAGCTCCTTAACATAGACACAGCCAGAGTCAGTATCTATGTCCGTGCTCAGCTCCACCGTTAGGTCATCATCACCTGAGGTCATATGATGCTTTCATTCAATGAATCAACACGACAGAAATAGCTTATTTTACGCTTGTTTATATTGCATGATATTTGGTTTAGCAGGTCAGCAGCATCATCCGACTCGTAGTATTTTGTCTAAAATGTGTGTGTTTTTTTGTTTGGGAACATCTCAGCAGATGTGTTATCATTGAAACGTATGTGATGTCCTGTGCATTGAATTCAGGCTTCATGAACATCCTGATCTAGAAATGATTTGATGAGTCCTATGGATGCATGTTGTACTGCTTGCATCTGCATCCTTGCTTGGTATGGCTGCCTAGGCAACAGGAAGAGATCGTTTTCATTATAGGCTATTTCTGTCTCATCAGATGGTATTTGACAGAAGAGATTGGAGGACAGATTGTGAAAAACAGGAAAGATGAATGAGAGAGGATGTCGTAGCAATCTCATCTATTGTCGCCTTTTATAAAAACACATTTGAAATGCTTGAATGCCGAGGAGAGTGTTATATCTTTACTGAGTCACTTTACACACCTTGTCGTTCTCCACAGGGGAGAGACAAGTATTGCTTCAGTGAACCGTGCAGGAAAACTGCAAAGAGACTTAAAGGGTTCTGTGCAGACAAAATGGTCCTTTCCTATCCAATGTTAAGGCATTTCTAAATCCTCTTAGTGTTCGAAAAATAAGATGTTTATGAACAAATCACTTCCAGAATGAGTTTGTTGGTTTTCAACTTATTTAGTTGTTGAAGAACCATGAATTTTAGACCAATTTAGTTATGAGATTTCTAATTTAATTTACTTTTTTTCCCCAGTAAAATCGGACAAGATGGAGAAGGCAGAGATTGGAGAGAAGATGGAGGACAATGTAAAGAAGGTGGACCTGTTCGATCCTCTGGATAAAGATGAGCGTAAAAGCGTGAAGGTGGAATTCAGTGATACTCCAGCAGAGAAAGGCAAGGAGAAGGAAAAACAAACGGACACACAAAAAGAGAAGGAGAAAGAGGACAAAATAAAGGGGGAAGAAAAGGTTAAAGCAGAGAACGAGACTGACAAAGTGAAGGTGACAGAGGCCGAAAAGCTGGAAGAAGAAAGAAAGAAAGAGACAGAGAAAGTGGAGCCAATGCAACAGAAGGAAAAAGAGGATAAAATGAACAAGGTTGAAGAATCACCAGATAGATTGGCAAAGACAGCGAAAGACGACAAGACAGAGAAAGTAGAGAAAGTAAAGGTGACAGAAGCAGCAGAGAGGAAAGTAGAAGTGACAGAGAATGTGGACAAAAATGAAAAGTCCAAAATGGAAGAGAAGACTGAGAATAAAAACACAGAGAAGAATGAGAAAACCGAGATGAAGGATGGCAAAGAGCTGCAGATGGACAAAATGGAGAAGACCCCAGAACAACTGCAGACACCCGACCAGCTGGAGAAGGAGGCTGACGTGGAGACAAAGACGTCCCCTGTGGTGGAAGACACCAAGAAAGAAGAGGCAGGCAAAGCCAAGAAGACAGAAAAAGACGACAAGGTAGAAACACCAACGAAGAAGAGCGATAAGGAAGAGAAGCAGGACAAAATACAGGCCAGCAAGAAGGTTCTGGAGAAAAAGGATGATAAGAAGGACAAGACTGCAAAAACAGATGTAGGAGACAAGGCCAAAAAAGCAAAACCTGCAACGAATGGAAGCAGCGCCCCACTGAGCAGAGACCTGGCAGACAAGAAACCCAAGGTAGGAGCCCCCCCGACGCACTGACACACAGATACGAGCCATAGAGTCTATACTCAAAACAACCATGGCTGAGACTGATACCCTATTTTGACACACCAGACTAAAACTTACTCCTATGTAAGAAATGATACAGACACGGTTTGTTTTCTATGGCGAGCAGATGCAGACAGCTTATAACTTCACATTGTCATGATGGACACAATGAGTTATAAGGTAGAGTAGAAAAATCAACATTTCACACCATGACAACTGTTTTTCCCGGTAAACCATGCTTTTTGCAGTTGACTTGCATCAGTCCAGGTGGTGTTTGAGGTTGTACCTTTACAAAGTTAAATTCCATCAATTAGGCATGTGCATTTATAAGTGATGAGAAAGTTACTAGAAAAAGCAGAACAAGGGTGTTTATTTATTGGCTTGATTTTATAGATTTGTACATGTTTTACTGTTTGTACGGCTATTATTACATTACATTACATTTAGCTGACGCTTTTATCCAAAGCGACTTACAATAAGTGCGTTCGACCAACAAGAGACAAACTTGAAGAAAACAGAATCATATAAGTACATCGGGTTTCATAGAGCTAAAACATTTCAAGTGCTACTCAACTGGCTTTAGATAAGCCAGTCCTTTACACATCAGGTTTAACCCTGTTTATAAATGTATCTAAAACTAGTGAACACATATAATATTATCTATAATGTTATCTATTATTCATTAACATTTTATACACGTACAAACGTTCTTGACGCTGACAGTCAGACTGTTCAACAACTCACAGCCACACTTGAATAAATACATATATGAAAATGGTCTTACATAATTACTTTGTTTGCAATTTGCACTGTATTTAAAGGAAATTCAAATATGTTACTGCAATCAGGTATTTGATGAATCCACACACACTTTGATTTTCTTTGTTTTTACACCCTAGTTAAAATATGATTATAATATATTATCTTGACTATGCGGTGGTTAACTTTTTTCTTGTAATGGGTAATTGATGGACAATATGTATTTCGGAAATCAAGCATGATTTTAAGGGTGGGTTTAAATCACGAAAAAAGCCATTCATCGTGGATGCTGCTAAAGCTTCTGCTACTGCTTCTTTATACCTACTGTATTAGTGCAGTATGGAAGGTCATAAAGGTAACTGTGGAACCCAATACTTTTTATTATGTTCCTACATTTTAATTTATCATTTCTGAGTATAATGCTGCTTTTGTTGCTTAGTTTTTATCCTCCATTTTCCTTATGGTTTCTTTCCTTTGCTTTCCCTCCTTATTTTGCCCTCCATTGCTCCTGAATGTTTTGGTCATCAGCCTGCTGTCGGGGCAACCAAACTGAGCGCAGCTGCTAAAACACGCCCAAGTACATCGGCTACTGGTGGTCCACTCACAGCCACTCCTAAGCGCCCTTCATCCTCCTCCACCAACACCTCCATCTTAGATAGAAAGACAACCACAGCCAAGGCACCAACCACAGCAGCTGTTGGTGCAAAGCGGCTCTCCACCACTTCCACCAGCCGCCCTGCATCCTCCATTTCCACCACTGCACGTGATGTCAGGCCCAAGGTAAGATTCAGCTGACAGGGTGTCCGTCAAAGGATGCAGAATGAGTCACGGAGACTTTCATCTGATGAGTTTGGATCAAGGATCAAGACGCTAACCAACCATTGTTAACCATGGTTACATGCGTAGCTTTTGTTCATTTGTGGCTCACAACATCAAGTTTCTGAACATCTGGCCTGGTCATGCCTTTTTAAAACAGACTCACAATTGAGTATTTCAAAAAGATTAAGATAAGATAAGAGGTCCCAAATTGGGAAATGTTTGCATCGCAGCAGCATAGAAAACAACAAAACAAGGCATTGCACTCAAGTAAAAATGAAAGAGTAGAAATAAACAACACTAGACATTTAAACATCTCAAAATTGAATTTAAACAGCATTAAAAAGTAGAAAATATACAGTAGACCGTGGAGATAAAAAATCAACTGTGACAATAAAACACTATTGAAGGGAAATCTGATGAATCCCGATCAAAGGGCGCATCTCGAGGGTGAGCAGTACAAGGTGCATACATTATATTTACAATTTGTTTATAAGTTGTAGCTGATGTTTTTCATGAGTAGATGTATTAATTGATGTATCATGTCGAAGCTAAAATGGAAACATGTTGTCTTTAAGATGCCTTTAGTCGCTGTTTATTCTTCTCCATCTCACATGCTTTTACAAACTTGAAACAACATACATAACAAAGTCATAACAAAAGGCTCATGAGTTTTTCATGTTCTAATAAGCCTTCCATTTTAATAGTGAAGTAATTAACATTGTGTGGCAACAATCAATCAAGTAAAGGTCCATAAGAGCATGTATTATTGTAGGCGAGGATACAGTAAACATCCACTATGGTGTTTCCACAACTGCTGTTTCTATTGATGGCTTATAATTATGATATTAAGTATAAGTACATTTTGTGATTGAAAACATCTTAATGACCTTGGAAACCGTAGGTAAAGAAACAATGGCAACACAAGTTCCATTGAGTAGCCCTTCTGGAGATTTCAATTTGTAGCACCTGACTTTAAGGGCTTTGAATCCCTGTTAGTTCAATACAGATACTCAATTAACCTAATACATGAGTCCTAACAAGTCCTAAAGTGCACACAAAAATGTAAATGTTCATACCCCCGATCAATGATATCAAATTCACCTGCTGAGGAAGACCATGCGGAATGACTGAATGCTCCAGGACAGATTCTTAGCTTGTAGTTTTGTCAACATAAGTACATTATTTAGTAACACAAAAAAATGTCGATGTTGATTTCTGCACAGCATTCTGGATCATTTACCACCATAATGCAATGTTCCTGGTTCATTTCATGCATGGGGTCATTTTGTCTCTAAAACAGATGAATATGCCCTTAAAATGTGTTGTTTTTATTAGGGATTTGTCACTGGATAAATATTATATTAATTGGGCTGCTGTTCTTGTCTGCTTCAAGCACAAATCTCTAAAGTTGACTTTTTGTTAGTACAGTCACTGATAATTTTATGTCCCCTTTTCAATTTGTGCTCGGTTGCCTTTTCTTAACTACAACCAGTGTGACACCACAACGGAAGAATTAGCAGCCTTTATTTAGCCTCCCAGCGCTCAGGGCTGCAGGGTGACTCAGTGCAGAGCGGCTAGCTTGTTGCAGGATGGCTCAGCTGTGTGTGGAGCGTGGCATCATCGTAGGGTTATGAGGGGAAATCTGCTGCTGAATGTTGTGTGCAATCGTCAAGTAGCGTCTACATGTATCACGCACATTTTTGACCTGAATTCCTCTGTAAAGTCACTGAACATTTGCCTGAGCTGATGGCAGGAGCCAGACAAACAACATTTATAATAGGACCAGTGTGCTCAACAGTAAAACACAGATACTTAAAAGTGGAAAAGTTATTAAAACTAAAATGAAAATGAAAAATAGTATATCAATAGCTATAAACAATATACACAATCCTGGATAATTAAAATGTTCTTTAAAAAGGTCAAAGATACTGCAGTAGCAGGAATATAGGCTTATAATATACTGTGTACTGTATACATAAGATTTAAGATTCAAGGCTTTTATTGTCATGTGTACACATACTGTAGCTACAGTGTAGATATATCAATGACAATCTTAAGTCACATGCTCCTCCAACAGTGCAACACAATAAAACAGATCAAATAGTTAAAATATTGCAAGTAAATACAAGATAGTATATCATTTACAGATGTATGTTTTATTACTCATGTTAGCGCTAACACAATATGATTTGTTGTTGATGGTTTTTGATCGATTTGTAGCATTTGCTCATGCTGAAAATGCTTTCATTCATAAATCTTCCTCACCTGACATCCCTGCCTGGTGTTTTTATTTGTCTCCCTCTCCTCAGACAACCACAGAGAGGCGCCCCCTTGTGCCAAAGCCTAGCACTGCCTCCTCAACAGGCTCCACAACTGCTACCAAAAATGGAACTGCTACCACAGCAGCCAGTAAAACCGCTTCATCAGTGCGCACGACAGCGTCTACTCGCACCGTTCCTACCACCGCAGCCAGAAAGCCTCTGGGTATGACAGAGATGCACACACAGATTCTTGTACACACATAAGGTTTTGATGGTCAGTAATTTTATCTCTGTGCTTTTGTGCATCATCTGTTTGTTTAGCCTCCAAGACAGACAGCAAACCAGGAGAGGAGAAGAAGCCCGGCACTGTAAAGACATCTGCAGGTACAGCAGCACTCCCTTCACCTGTCAGAACATACAGAAAGCAGTGACAAAATACTCTCTACTGTAAAATGTCATTCAAGCACAGAAAGAGACTCAATTAAATAACACATGTACTTAAACAAAAGATACATGTCAAGTTACATACAGTATATATCTAATGACCCCTCTGTTATGACAACATTTTAAAACATTGTGACGTGTCTGGTTGTAACTATTCCTAGTGCAAACGGCATACTACCAAAAACAACGTATCATGTGGGTGAATTGGACTTTTTTGTACTAACTCAAATGCTTTATTTTTTTAATTCCTTTGTTTTTTCTAATGAATTAGCCAATATGGTGGTAAGGTTGGTTTGATCAATATCAAAATTCTAAAAAGGATATTTTTTTGATACGGCACAATATGTCAATTCTATGCAAAATCAGTTGGTAACGAGTACAACAAGTAATTAAATAACATAATTGCACTATATTAGACTAGAGTCCTATACTGTACAGCTTTTGGTCATTTTCAGTACAATTACCCCACAAAAATATATATATTATTGTGTTCACTAATGATCAAAAGGTCATCATATTGTTATGACATGATACTACTGAAAGTAGATCAATGGTCATATAGTTAGTGACATTAGTTAACATGTGTCATACACTGCATTTCTTTTTTACTTATTTTTATTTAGAAGTTTAGAATTGCAACATTGTTTTTCTACTTTCACCTCTACTTCCAGTGATCATAACCTCTTTACATCCCTTGTTGTGACTTACTTTTCCAATATGTTTCACATGATAAATCCTTGCCAAGATCTATGTGACTTTTACATCAGGACCATTAGGAAGTCAATAGGAGTTAGAATTTAGTATTTAATAAAAATCTCTCCCGGTGCCAATATTTCTGACCTCCCACCGCAGAGATCTCTCTCTTCCTCTGTGACTTTGCTCTCTGGATATATTTCTGGTCCTCTTTCTTCTTCACTCTCCTCATCTGTAATCCTTTTCCTCATGTGTACCTCCCCGCTCTCTCGTCACACACAGCTTTACTGTCGACAGATTACTTTACATTTCGGCAACAGGAGAGCTGTCAGCAGGAGTGTGACACTGCAGCACACACTGTCCAAGCATGACAATGCTGGGTAGGCTCCCAGAGAGAGAGAGGCTTTATTGCTGAAAGGCCCTGGAGAGTTAAAACCCTTCACCGCAGCAGTGAGTGGATTACTGTCCCCTCGCTGTTGACAGGAGTTTGAAGCTCCTGCTGATACAGCGGGCGGATTTCCTCAATTAAACACGTCTTAACAAGAGCTGGAGATATACCAAAGGCTCTCAGGGCCAGCAGGACATATGCAGCACTCTGAAGAAAAAGCTGACATGTAGCAAAGTGAATATGAATTGACACATTTTCAAGTGCCTTGTAGTTTAGCAGGCTGAGGGGAAGGATGCTGAAAAGTATTCACTAAAACCCACAGGAAATAAATGGTATTCCTTCAAAGGTGCACTGGTGATGATACGCTCTCTGTTTGCCTTTGTTTTGCTATCTGGTCTGCTCTCCATCTCTGTCTTATTTTTATACATTTAGTTTATTTACTTTTTTGGCTAATTTATTCGTCAGGGGATTGACTGTAAATGACAGACAGGATGTATTTACAGTGGTTGTGTCAGTATGCCTTGAATACATAAAACCTTGCTCGTTCTAAGCACATCACAGCTTTACACGCACAGAATGTGGGCTGGCTTTACACCCACGGCCCTATCAGAAACGTCGCTGTATCAGAAACAATGCGCGACGTGGTTTGGAAGTAATATGGTCTGTATTTACGTTAGCAAGCATCGCTAACACTCAGAGCTAACGCTGTTTCAGAAATAATCCTTGATGTGGTTTGGAACATAATATGGTGTTTAATCACGGCAGCGTTTAGATGAGTATCTGGGTAGAATTCTCCTGCATGAGCTCTCCTCTCTTTTCTTTCTTTTTTCTAAAGCTCAGAATCAGCACTTCTCTAACAGGCTGAAATAGAGGGGTATGATGCATGGCTATGATGGGTGATCTGTGTGGTATTTTGAGCAAAACACTTCATAAACATGTTTTTTATCTATCTGGAGGAGGCCTTTAAGACCGTTCCAAAATAATTTATGTTATTTACAATAAAGCTCGATAAAGCTTTGAATAACTCTCCCACTCCATTTCTACTAGCCGACCCCACCAAGCCCAAGACCACCACCTCCACCACCCGCAGCACTACTTCCACCCTCGCTGCATCTCGCACCCGACCCACAGCAGCCAAACCGGCCCCCCCCTCCTCCTCCACCACTGGCACAGCACCAGAGAAGAAGCCCTTGGTTCCGCGTACCTCCCGGACCACTTCCTCAACTACCACCACCACCTCTAGGACCGCCGCCCGCCCCGGGACAGTCCCGGCCCCCGACATTCGTAACGTCCGCTCTAAGATTGGCTCCACTGACAACATGAAGCACCAGCCTGGAGGAGGGAAGGTAGGTCCTCCAACTGCAGCTTTCATAATTAAATGAGTGTTTTGCTTCTAATCACGTGTTTTCTGACACTGGCCCCCCCTTGACTAACATTTTAGGTGATCTGAAGGCCTTTTTAACCTGCACCAGTGGCTTCCTGTGGCTTACTCTTCAAACTTCTTTCTGAAGCTCTTCTCTTGAAATAATAACCAGAGTGAACGTACCACTATCCATAGTGTGTATATATATAACCAGCTATCAAACATGTTAGCATAATGTACAAGGTTATTCCACCTCACTAGATTTTTCCGCACCTTCTTTCTCATTGTTATTGGCTTTGTCACTTGCTTGCAAAACCAAGCAATAAGTCATATCATATCAAGCATAAGTCAACTTCTGCATGTCTATTTGGTACCATTTCACCCATTTTAAGCTTTGATTTCTGTATTTTATCCTCTGTCCACATACATAATTCCCTGCACCTCTTCCTTCATGGCATCCTCCTCCTCCTCCTGCGTGTTGTTATCATTTGTTTTTGTTGTTGACCCCGGGTGGGCTTGTCTCCCCAGGTGCCATCTGCCTCTCAGAGCAGAGGCGTCCTCTCCAAAGATACAAGCCAAGGCAAAGTGAGTCCCCTCCTCCTCCTCCCCAACCTCACCACAACATCCAACTCCCACCCCTCTCTTCTCTTTTGTTGGTTCTGTTCATACATATTTTTGCTATTTTCTTTTCAACACTTCATGTTTTTGGTTGGTTTAATGTGAATAGCTCTACTGAGGGCTTTTGACCATGTGCTATTATATTTTAAAACTATTTCATGTCTTTTTAGGATCAAATTGACTTAATGTATCTTGCAAAATAGCTCTTCTATTTAAGGCAAACTAGGGCTTTTCTACTTTACTTCCAGGGTACTCAGTTTGGCAAAAACAACTTTCAATTCCAAGTGTTGTTACCTGGAGGTATCCAATGATGTTAAGGTGTTGAAGAATGGAAAATCATTTTTAAAAACATAAAGTCCTTAAACTAAACCAATCCACCTACTGTAGTTCAGTGCTAAAACTAAATACAGTGTTTTCCTTTCAAACCAAAGTAGTAACAGCTAGCTGCAGTTGGTCACTTTTATCAAAATAACAGTTACAATAATATACAATATTATTCTGAAGTCGGTGCACTCCATATCTACATTTTTGAAGTTGGTAGATGTTGCATTACTACAGCAGGGGGGCTTCTCTATCACACACACCAGGCTGTACTGGTAGGACCCTTGGGATCAGGGCCATCACTCTGTGACTGTGTGGAGAGAATGTGTGTCTGTGTCTTATGGAAACGACAAACAAGCAATGAGCTTTACTATTATTACTTCTACATTCTAGAAGTGTTCTGCCTTGGGTTTGTTTAGTTACTTCTAGCAGTCTAACCTGTCATTGAACTAAAGTATTCATGTTTGCCACTACTCACTGTGTGTCAACCACATGTTCTTGTGTGATTGCATGTGTTTGCTCTATAAAAGAGGTTTAAGTGTGGAATTCTGATATTTAGTTTTTACCAGACCTGGTTTTCATACCTTCCTTTGGATTTCTGTCACTGTCGCTATTCATGTGGCAACACACGACTGCTTACATTCCCAGCAGTTAATATCAAGCGCACCTAAGATAGGTCAAATATTTTTAGGCGTGTTCACTGTTTCCCAGGTGAACCTTGCTTCATCCTTCTGTCCTTCTAACCCTGCCCGTTATGGTGATCTATTCTCCCTTCTTCTTTTTTTTTCTACCCTTTTCTGTAATCTTTTCTCTTTTTCTATTGCTTTAACCTTTATTTCACTTCCTCTGGTGTCACCCCTTCCTCCCACACCCCCTTGCTTTCCTCTATTTTCCCTCTTGCTGCTATGCTGGTTCCATATAGGTTCACATTGTATCCAAAAAGCTGGACTTTAGCCACGTCTCCTCACGGTTGGGCTCCAAGGACAATATGAAGCATGTTCCTGGTGGAGGGAAAGTAAGTACAGCCTGGCCTACAAGCAGAGCTCATAAGCCAATCAGTCAAATAACGTGGCTTTAGGGAACAGAGCATGGAATAAATATTGTATTTTCATCTCTATTTTGCCCAAATCAAACAGCGCTCAAATCACTTCCAACCTGAGTGAGTTGTACAGTCTGTACAGCCTTTAAAAAAAAGTGAAGGTAGCTCTTAAAGTCAAGCTACAGTACTTATGGCCGCCAACACTTTCTCTCTGCTCTCTTAGAAGTTTAGGGGATTTTTGGACAGCATGCTAGCAAGCCTGATGTATCAGCCCTTCCCCAGAACCCGCTGCACACCCCCTTGCTCCTTTAACCCCTCCTGTCTTGCCCTCTCACTAACGTACTAAAAACGATTAATAAACTAGCAAACAATCAACACTGGCCTCTGATTGGCTCGTGGTAAAGATTGTCTGTTTCTGAGGAGAGTATCATCACAAACAGGTACATTTGGGAACTCTTGATATTATGCTTTCTCTTTATTCTCTGGCATTTTTCTCACCTTCTGCAACGTGGTGTTCCTGCCATCTTTACAGAACACGTCTACAATTGTTTTACTTCTTAAGATATGGAAATAGATTTGTGGTCACACTTTCATGTATATAATGCATTATAAATATACGTATATATTTATGTGCTGTTATCCCTATATAATTAAAATGATAAGCACTTGTAAAAACGGATGACAAAGACTTTTATAACTACATATGAGGTCAAGTATCAAAATTGCTGTTCACACAATGACCCCTCGGATGTATTACTGATATTATGCTTTATCACACTTATTAAAAGCCATTTAAACTATTGGAATCATACTACACTATAGTCCTGTATGCGAATGACCAGTAAGTATACAATATTATGATACTTGACCTTATAAGTCATTATATAAAGTTTAATAAGGTGTTACAATAATTGTTAGTAAGCATTATGATCAGTGATACAATATTAGTGCTTATAGTTTTATTCATGCAGAACTTCAAATATTGTTTATAATGCATTATAGATGTCAAAGAAAGTGTGTTCAAGATAGTGTTGAAAAACCTGAATTTTACTTTCTATAACATCCAGATACAATCAGCAGTTTGTGTTCCACCACTTGTTGCATGGTGATGGTGGTGATTAATGTGTGCTTTTATTGCAGCTGAAGAAGGAATAGCCCCTAAACTGAAACCATCGAGGGATCTCTGTATAACGTTTTAACACTTAAGGCTTGTGTGACATTTGGCAGGTGCAGATTCTCAACAAGAAGGTGGATCTGAGTAAGGTGACATCAAAGTGCGGCTCCAAGGACAACATCAAGTACAAGTCTGGTGAGCTGGGAAATGTAGTTTTTACCCTATTGCATTTAATCCATCCCCAAATGCTCATAAGCTGTTAGACGGACCTAGATGAAAAAATGATATCAGTCTTTCGTAAGGAAAGTATATAATGTTTGGGTGAGGTTTTGATTCAACGTTGACCCCCTGTCTTATTAAGTGGATCTTGAAATCATTATACAGGTGCCAAATATGTATGGCAATATACAGTAAAATAAACAAGATGAGTGACTTGACATACAGAAGGCTGTATAGAAGCTGGATCTGTTTTGCACATGGTCATACAATGTAAAAGCTTGTATCCATGCCTGTGTATTGCATGACTATTTAGCTATCATAATAACAATGATTCTGTGTGCTGCAGGCGGTGGCGTTGTAAAGGTCGAGTCCCACAAGGTGAGCTTCAGGGAAAAGGCCAAAGTGGGCTCCATGGACAACCTGAGCCATTCCCCTGCTGGAGGAGACATGAAGGTGAGATTATTATGGGGGACATCTTACAGTCTGTTTGTCTGTCTGTTAACTTTAAACTGTTTATATTATATTCCTGTATAGTGGAAAAGCAGATCAGGGCACTGCAATTGAAGCGCTTTAGTAACCCAGCCAATCACAATAAAGATAAATCCGGTTTCATGGTACATTGGCAAGTTAAAATTCAAATACACTTACTGCTTTTAATAACAGTCATTACACATTATGCATAATTGCAACCTACTTGAGTTAGTCATTATGGCAACACAGTGTGCATTTCAATGACAACTTCTTTATTATTATTTACATGAAATGCTTTGGAGGCAATGTGTTTATATGAAAGCAGTCCTTTAGGGCATTATTTACTTCCTCCAATAATGAGACAAATCTCAGTCTTCAATCTGTATCTGAAAAGGTTGTATGTACCTTTTGTCATTAAAGTAAGTCTGCTGTTAAAAGAGAAACGATTAATGTATACATATCTAACAACATCCACCTTTATCTAAAAGAGTTCCGCCTACTTTTAACCAGTGAGAAGATCCCAGAAGAAATACAAATTCCAAAAAGGTTCAAACCTGTTCCAACTGGCAAAAATTTTGTCCATCTCAGAACCTATGCAGCACTATTACTTCAGGTGTTTTAAGCTTTTCGTGCACATTCCACCGCTGTGTTCATAAACTAAAAGATGGGTGGCTTCAAGCTTCAATAACTGATGACAGCCTGTCATAAACCATCTGTGGCATCCTGCAACCTTTTCATCTGAACCTGCAAACGGCCCCTTTTCTCCTGATCTTTGTCCATCTGTTTAAAACATGTCTGAATACCTCCCTGCAGGGCACAGCGCCGCTCGGCCCTGTCAAAAACACTCAGAGAGAGAATGAGAGGAGACAGGCATACAGAGAAACGGTTGACATGACGGTCAGAGATTTCTAAAATATGAAACATTTCAAAAAGGATTTGAATCACCGAGAAACTTATAGAGCGACAATACATGATGAAGTGACCTATTCCCGCATCCTCTCTGAGCTGTTATTGTTTCATGACCCCATCCTTAACTCACATTCTCATCTTCACACACTGTTCACCCATAATGTGCACCCTCCAACCCGGGGAAGATGCATAATCAACCGCTACAAATAGCATTCCCATATTAACCTGTCTGAGCAAGCTGTTATCTTTAAGTTCTAACTGAAGTCTATTTTTACAGATACATATTATTATTAATAAATGATATTACTTTATCATGCAGAGGGGTTGTGGTCCATGAGAAATGTATATTTATTTTACATGTTGATGTTGAATTTACGATGTTGCATTCATTCTAACATTTTAACAAATATGTTTTTGTTATCCCATCTCCCTTCAACTTGGTCTAGCTCTTGATGTTTTCATACTTTTAGCCAAACATCTGTCTCACCAGTTTTCTTGGTGTATGGCTAGACTCTGAACTTTCATTTCAATAGCATATAAATCATGTGTTATCAAAAGAAAATGATGGAATCAGTCTTACATCGCATTCGCATTTTTTTACGTTCAGTGTCCCTAAGAAAATTGCTTCTCAACTAATACTTCCGATTATGGACTATTGTGATGTTGTTTACCAGAATTCACATCAATCAGATCTCTACTTAACCCAGCTTATGCAGTTATTGGTTGCCCTTTTCATGCACATCACTGCACACACTTGAATGGCCTTGATTAAATGTAAGAAGACACATTCATTGGCTTCAACTTATATTCAAATGTTTTTACTTTTAGTATCCCCCTTATTTAAAGCAGTATTTTGTAAATGACATTTCAATGATCAAGTTAGACACTCCCTGAGATGCAAAGAGTGTTCATGTTTAAAGACCCAAAAGATTAGAATACTTTTCCTGCTACTATTAGATATTACCGATCTATTACACACAGCTGTCCATCAAATTGTAATTTGATGTATTACTTCATGAATTTAATTTAACAGACTTTACATGGTTTGTTATTGTTTGTTGTTTGTTTCTGTTATTTTGTTTGTTTTCTGTTCAGTTTTTATTTATTTTTTATGTCTGATGTTGCTTTTGTCGGGACACCTTCAAAACGAGCTGGTGCATCTCAAGGGGTTTATCCTAATACATTAATTTAAAAATATCAATTTTTGGAAATAACCAAATACAGAACTGTAATCTGTCTTTAACAAAAGGTACCAAATGTAATAACATGAGATCCAGGTTGTTCAACCCCCATCCCAACCCATTGACACGCCCTGCTATGTGTTTCTAGGCGGAGGGAGCCCAGGACCGAGCAGAGGGGAACGGAACCCCCATGAGCGGCACCGCAGCCCCAGGCCCGGAGCCGGGGCAGGAAGGGAGCCCTGCTGCCCGGGAGAATGGTCTGAAGGAGGGGCCCCCTTGTGATAATGAGGGTCTCCAGGCTCTGGACGCACGCATCCCAGAGACAAGTGAGTGTGTGTCAGCCATGTTGCTGCGGGAGAAGGAGACATGGAATGAAGCCCAGCAATATCCAAACGCCTGAAACATTGCATGCTGTATAGCAAGAGGAGATTACTTTTCCTCCCCTGACTGAGATCAATCGCGTGTGCAGAGGTGGGAAGTAGAGTACAAATACTCCACGACGACTTTTGACTTTTACTTCTTACATTTTTAACACAAATACCTGTACTTTCTACTTCTTACATGTTGAACTCAAATACCTGTACTTTCTACTTCTCTCATTTTCCAAACAGCTGGTTCCTTTAGTCTGAATGTGTGTTTGATGCGTGATCATTATTCTTTAGAGTCATTGCGTGCCTATAGATTTGAACACGATCCGTGTATCCATCATTGCCTGGTCTTCTCTAAAGAAGAGGGACCAATGGAAACTTCAAAAGCATCGAAACATTCATTAGCTAACAATGACATGATTGTTCTATTAATATAAAGGGAGGTCAGTTAGTTATGGCTACTTTTTACTTAAGTACATTTCAAAGCACATACTTCTTTACTTTTACTTGAGTAAAGATGTTTAGTCAGTGCTTCTACTTTTACCAGAGTATTTTTAAACACGAGTATCTGTACTTCTACTTGAGTAAAGTGTGTGTGTGTGTGTGTGTGTGTGTGTGTGTGGTGTGTGTGTGTGTGTGTGTGTGTGTGTGTGTGTGTGTGTGTACCTGTGTGTGTGTGTGTGTGTGTGTGTGTGTACCTATATGTGTTTGTGTGTGTGTGTGTATGTGTACCTATAAGTGTGTGTGTGTGTGTGTGTGTGTGTACCTATATGTGTGTGTTGTGTGTGTGTGTGTGTGTGTGTGTGTGTGTGTGTGTGTGTACGTGTACCTATATGTGTTTGTGTGTGTGTACCTATATATGTGTGTGTGTGTGTGTGTGTACCTTTATGTGTTTGTGTGTGTGTGTGTGTACATGTATGTGTTTGTGCTGTATTCATCATGTTGTCTCCAGTCCAAAGACCTCTGATCACACCATCATCTTTCGACTTCTTATCTTGCAGGCATCTAATTCTACAATCCCTCTGCCCCCCCTCATCTCAACCCCCCCAACAATACCACCCTCTATATTTGTTGTCTCCCTCACCTCCTCCCCCTCTCCTACCACTTTCTTTCTAACCTTTCTGCTGCAGATTGAGTGTTTTCAAGCTCAACTTCCGCGAGAATGCTCGCTCTCGCACGGACCACGCCGCCGAAATCATCACCTGGCAGCCCCCCCCCCCCAGGACGACAACAGACCCCAACCCGCACGGTTCCTCCCGTTCTCTACACCACTACCACCACCCAACCCCTCCATGATGATGCGAGGGGAGGTCCAGCAATAGCTCCTAAAGGGACCTTTTCCTTTCACTCCCCCATCCTGGAAAACGCTTAGATATGTCATTGCAAATGTTTTAATCATACAATAGTTCTGCCGCTCTAGTATTAACTCCATGTTCTCATGCCTCCTCTCTCACATCTGAGCTCATCATCTTGCCCCTCTATATTTGGCTGAAGTGACATTAAAGACTTGGGTCTCGGTGGGAAACTATGTGGAGGGAAAAGAGGATAACGTTTTCTCAAATATTTGGTTCTCCAAGTTGAACTGGATCCATGGTTGTCACTCAGATCCTTTTTCCCCCACAGCCTGGGCGTGTACTCTTACCCTCCATCATCTCACACACCAAATAAGTAGCGATTACTTCAACTGAGCAGCATGGAAACCCTCTTGGACTCACCTTTTGGCTTCTGTCAAACACATAGCTTCTCCTTAGTGTCTGCTTTAATAACATCATAGTAATTCATCTCATCTGCTTAGTCACTTCCTCTCTTCGCATTACCATAAACAATAAAAGCTAGACAACAAGTAGGCTGTTTGAATCATTTTAGGCTGTAGCTAACTCTCTTTTCTCTGTGTTTGTGATGATGTGTTTGAGTGACAAAATGGTGTAAAAATGAGCTTTGGTGTACTGTTCGGATCTTATTTCTGTCTTTCTCAAGGTTTCTTTCCTTCTTTCTTGATTTTAAACAAGTTTATATTTATTTATTGTACGTCTCTTCCTGCGTAAGAAATACAGTGGCCGTTTTTTTTTTTTCAATAGCACTCTGAAAATCTCGGAAACACGCACAGGTTTTTGTAAACAAAGACACACATTAAGGATAGAGAGAAAGAAAGTAGGAAAAGAGGTATTGCTAGGAGGTTGAAAAGACGCATTTGAGGTGTGCTTTGCACGTGGAAACCTGAACGTGTTTGAATTGCAATTGAGAAAGTTTGCTAAAGTATAGCTTTAACTAAGCATGCAGTCCAGAGGAACATGAGGAAGATGTCTAAATGCCTCTGAGGCTAAAGGAGCTGTGTGTCTTGTATGTAGTTCTGTCCTTCTTACCTGAAAATAAATGAGGATGATGCAGGCTCACGCCTAACACTGCTTAGGCAAAGAAATGGTGATAGTTCACAAAAGTGACATAAAACATTACGGTTAACCTGGTTTTAAGGACGTTCTGTAAATCAAGCTGACCTGGTAGTAGTAATGGTTGTTGTTCAATATCAGGTGTTTCTATAAGGGTTATGGTAGCATGTTGTTTGACTAGCTGAATATAAACATCTCAAATAACTGTTCAGCACTTTCCTTCTTTGAGTATTGGCAGTGGAACATGATGTGGCTTTATACTCTTCTCTTGTAGCAATGTATTCAACTGATTGCCTTTATAATGCATGGTCAGATTATACTGGAGATGAAAGCCTTTGTGCATTAAGACTCGAAGTGTTTGGTACCATATGTTTAACTCGGGGCAAACTTAGATAGCTGACGTGTTGTAACTCTTAACAGCGATGGAGAGGAAGAGCTAGTTTCTGATGGTTGTCGTTTCATCATTAATTCTACCACAGATTTGTATACAGTGACTGCATGGCTCCAACTTACTAAAATAAATGAAAAAAGTTTTGATTATATTAGAAGTATTTTAGTTCAGCGATGTATCACGTACAAAAGTCATGGTAAAACTTGTCAGACATAACTGCATCACTACTATGCTCAGTTTTGAGTATAGTGTATGGCTGTGTATCATCAGGAATTTTGAAACATTTTTGCTACTGAACACAAAATATAATCTCTTGAACCTTGCATCATTTTTAGGGGGCAGCCCAAAGAAGCTGTAAACACAAAATATACATGATGTATGTTTTTCTTTTTTAACATCCAATAGACGGAGAGCAAAATAAGCATTTATGTTGAGTCTTTTCTCTTTCAACTTTGTGAATGTAAGTCCAATATTCCCTCTCCACTAACTCCCTAGTGAAGTATGGCTCTTTAGTTGCAAAAAGTGACATTATGTTCACAAGCCAGCTAATTAATCTGATAATAAGTAAAGATTTTGAGTCAGAACAACCGATGATGCAAACTTTTGGTTTGACTTTTTGTTATCTGTAGTATGGACACATTGCATGTGTCTTCATTCAAATTCTTCTGACTCATTCGAGAAATGTGCTAAATACCAATACCAAAGCTCATTTCGACTGCCCTTTAGGGAACAAACACAGTTTTCCTATCCAAATTGTCACATAAGCAATGATTCGTACAGAAGCTTTTGACAGAACTGCAACAGCATCCAGGAGTTTGGAGGGTAGAGATTTTTAAGGTTTGTTTAGAACAGCTTGTCCAGTAATGGTTATAAGGGGAGGAAGCATTTTATCGTGACTTTAATTACTATTATTCAGATTATTAGTATGATGAATTGAAAAGGTCTTTTTTTTCATTAGAAAGGGGCCACTGAAGTGAAAGAATGTCTTTTGAGATATATTGTACTAAAGACGCAACACTTGTGTATATGTATTTATCGTTGTGTTCCTGTAGCCTTGTGGTGGTTGTGCTCTCATTGGTTGAAGGGATTATAATTAAGATGTGTGACAGCCAGTTTCACAAACTGTGTTCTTGAGTTTCCCCAAGGATTTGCACAAGATTTGAATCCCAATACATAACTTACAAAGTCTTTAAAAATCGCATTAAATCTGATGTTTTCATTATTGCGCAACTTGATTTAGAAACATTGTACTTGCAACCATTATTACAAGTTTTTGTTTTACTACATATGCAGTGGGCAATTATGCCAACACACTATTATACCATGCAACAAAGCGCAAGCCCTGTCTTAAGATATAAGAATAATGTTGGGAATACCTGGTTAACTTCTCTTTCAGGACCTATAGAGGTTCATATGATAAAATAACCTAGCACCTGACACACATGACACTGTACAGTATATGACAGTGGGCAAAGGGAATTTGTTGATGAAGCAGGCACTAAGTGTAGCGGTAGATGTGTAGGCCTGTGATTTAGTAGTACTTCATATCAAACATAATGGCTGCTACATATAGCACTCAAAAAGCAGCAACCTGCCAAGGAGAGACACACACACCAAGACCCTAACACATCCTTATCTAAGGTTAACTACATGTAGTTTCCGGATTTTGCTTGTGTAATAAATGCTCCTCAGTATTCTATCCAAGGAGCGTTGTAGATCTTCATGTACCGCCACTGCACTCATGCAAGAGTAACACTAGCTAATAAACACGTGCTGTACCTGCAGAGCATGCTGAAAAACAACAATGGGATGTGTTAGGTAGACTTTCTATGTCATTTGCAGAACCTCCTCATTGTTTTTTGGTGTTTTTTGTTTTCTTCATTCATTTGAATTTCATTTTTTGGTTTGGAAAACAGTGTTTTTTGTGATTACTTGTTGATTAGTGATGTGATTATTGAACATGAAATAAAAATAAACTAAAACTATCAGTGTTGTTGCTTTTCTTTTAGAAGTGATAACAAAAGTTAAAATACTGTATTTTGTTGCATATTAACTTGGCAAACCTAGCATTAGCAAGTGGGGTAATGCACACTCTTTGTTATAATCCACTAATCTACTACTTTGAGTCGTTCTTTCAGAGTTTATTTGGCATTAACCAGACAAGAAGACCAAATTGCCGTTTTGTTTAATTTCATTCAGAAACATCTGAAATTAGGTCAAGTCGCAAGAGTTAGGCAAATGGCACTTGTTCAAGCACATGAATTCTAACTAATTAAAATGACATACATGTCATTTTAATGTGCTGACATCTATAGGCCTATGTATTTTCCCCGGGCGCTGTACAATAGCTGCCCACTGCTCCTACTGCTAGGATGGGTTAAATGCAGAGGCCACATTTCACTGTGTGTGCTGTGTGCTCTGCATGTATGACCATTAAAGAGGGTTTCATCCCTCCGATTCTATGTTCTATCTATAGATCTATCAATACATCCTGCAAATAAATACTGTTTGGATCTATTCCGGTGTTGGACACTGGGGGCGGTAGCGCACATTTTCTCTAGGTTTCTGCTTAATTTCAGGAGAAGAAGACAGTTACCAGGGTAACGTCGACATCATCTGGTGTTGTTGGCTTTCTAGCATATGCTAGCTTGTGTTTGAACGTTTACACTAGTTAACGTAAGTAACCATTATCCTCTTAAGTAAACTAGCTTGTTAAACAGCCGCCTCGCTAAGAAAATACTGACCTTTACTATTTGCGAAAACGACCAAGAAGGAGTAAGGTTTAAGGTACGAAAGAGTGTAAGCTTCACCATGCTTTTCCATTGCAGTGAGCTAACGCTTAAGTATGTTATGTTTGGCCAATGTTCATTGTTCGGTAAACAAAATGGCTAACATGCATCAAATTCAAAACGACCGAAGTCAGTTGAACTATAGTTTACGTTCTTACAGATAAGGGTAACGTAACTCTACATAGCTAAAGGCTAAGGTATTGCTGGGGTGGAGCACATAAACACACACTGTACGAAACTGTTACACTTCATCTACTTACATGATTTCCAAAAACTCTTAACTCCCATTGCTTAAGCCAAGTAAATGATAATGTGTTGTGGGCAGAGTGGGGAGGGATGGAAGATACAGTAATGTGGTTTGGGTTCATGTCTGCTTCAGTATTCAAACCAGCGAACTTCTAGTCACAAAGAAGCTTTACTGTCCTCTTGGCTGCTCACATTAAGCAAACACAACAATCACGAAGTATAGGAGCAGCACAAGGCTCAGTAAACGTGTGTCCATCTTTCCCCAAAACAATATTAGATGTTTTACTTGTGTGTTACTGTCCAATGCTAGCTAGCTCCAGGCATAATGGCAAGTCAGCGACCTGCCTCTGGCATTGGCAGGCCTTTGAGCCGCAGTGGGACTGCAGTCCCTGGGGCTGGAAGACCCCCAACAGCCCTCCGACCTCCTCCTACAGCTATCCGTGTCACAACTGGGGTAAGTCAACTGCAGCTCCAATTCATTTGAGCTTGGAGATAAAAGTGCCCTTCCTGTAAGCATACTGGGTACTTAGCTATAGTCATACAGTATCATCATCCAGTATCAACTAGTTATAGCAAAGGAACAAAGCCGAAATGTCTCTAAAAAGTCAAATAAGTACAATTTGCACAGCATGGCTTCATGTAAGAGCTTGTTTCAGCTTTATTTTGTGTGTCTTTCGTCAATATTTGTATTTGACATCACTTTAGTGATTCTGGTAGCTTCTGCTATAATATATATCTTATAAGCAAATGCAACTCATAGCTGTTGGTGCAAAATCAGTATGTTACTGATTTGTGATCTGGATATTTTACTAATTACAAAGGCATTATTTTATTAAATCAGCATTTCAGACAAACTTTTGCAATCTTGTTAACTAACCCTAATGAGCTAGTTATACAGTCGCTGAGTTTTCTTATTTCATTTTCAATCCAGATGGTTCCAGGTACAAGTGGTCATCCTGGCATGAGGGGCGGCATCCCCCTCGCCACCCCTGGAGTCCTGTCGGCACAGATCAAAGTGACCGACAGGCCTGTGACCCAACAGGGCCTCAGTGGTATGAAGACTGGCATGAAAGGTAAGTCTAACGTTGCATTAGTTGACACTTTTTAAAATGCTTAATTGTTTTAGGCTTGGGAATTTACCAGCCGTTTTGAGCCTTGTTGAAACAGACATTTAAAGTCTCACTTCTCTTCCCTCCACCACATCCTTCCTCCCACCCAAAAGGACCTCAGAGACAGATTCTGGATAAGTCCTACTACTTGGGCCTTCTTAGGTAACAAATCCAACTAAAGGGAATTTTTAGTAAAACATTTTAAGCCCTGATTGTTAGTACTTTAAACTGTGCAGCAGGTTATTTCTGTAAGGGCAACATTTTCTTAAACATAATTGTGGTCCAAACTGGAAAATTGTTTTATTATAAAGTGAAACTCTTTGCTGTGCCTATAGGAGTAAGATCAACGAGTTAACCACAGAGACCAGCAAACTGCACAAAGAGATCGACAACTACAACCAGGAGAATTCAGTTTATCTCTCCTACGAAAAGAAGTGAGTGGTGTTTTCACTAGTGACGATGGACAGTTTGTAATATAGAACCTGTTTTTACTGTATTCCACCGCCTTTATTATTCAGACATGAGAAAAAAAGCCTAACTTTAATTAAAAGTATTTTACAAAGGAATTTGAAACACAGTTTGGTTACATTGTTTTATTTCCAATTCACATAGAAAAAGTGTGTCAGAATAAACAATAGAATAAACGATGGAAAGTTTGAATATTTGAATGAACAATTGTTTAATGAATTTAAAATAAGAACTCTTTTTTATTTCCCCTTCAGAGCTGAAGGCCTGGCTGGGGAGATTAAGGATCTACAGGGCCAGCTTGCTGACTACAACATGGTAAATAGCTGTAGTACCATCATCATTTTCAATAAGTAATTTATGGAAAATAATAGCCTGTTCCTTTATCCTGGATATGACAAGAAACCATGTTAAGTATTACGCAATAACAGATTTTTTTGTACACTTTAATGTTTTGAACTGTATTTATTAATAATTGCCTAGGAGTGTAAAAATAGAGAATGAGAGAATGGAAACTCCAACAGATAGGAGGCAGGAGAGAAATCCCTCCAAGCTCAGCTGCTAAATGATAAAACAATGTTTGGTCATACTGTTGTTGTTAAGGAAGTATTCAGATCAAACACATCTTTTATTATTTTTTTTTTAATGTTTATTTTCATGTCTGTTGTTTAAGTTATATTGATAAGCATTTTATTTATTTTTTGCCCGTGTGGGCATGTGCGGGTGGAGGGAGGGGGGAGTGTAGTGAGTGTACTGTGGTACTGTGATATTACAATATAAATGAAATGGCATCGATTACTGTACACTATAATACAAAAAAAATAAAAAAATAAAAAAACATATATCATTTGAATATTAGCAGGGTACTTTAAAAGTGTAAATGTCTGATATAATAATAGGTGTGAATGCTTTACAATGATATGTAGCTTAATTGTTTGTATTTTTCTGATTGTATTTCAGCTGGTGGACAAGCTCAACACAAACACAGAGATGGAGGAAATGGTCAACGACTACAACATTGTAAGTACACCGTGTAAGATGTCAAATCATCAAAATGGTATCAAATCAAAGGTGTGACCATGGGGGCTGATTTGGGTTAGAAAAAAGTATTTCGTAAATATAATGAGAATGCCTACTCTTTGCTTTCTTCTTCCCTCCTCTCTACCATCCCAGCTGAAAGCCCACAATGACAGCGAGGCTGAAAGCATCGACAGCATCTTCACTGAGAGGAGAGAGTAAGTACGGTGGACTTCTAATGATGTTTTTAAGATCACTGGGTTGTTGGGAAAGCATGTTTTTAAGCTTATATTTAGCTTAGAAAAAAATATTATTTATAGAAAATAGAATAAAATGTGAAAAAACTATCATTGTATTATAAAAGAGTTTATCATTTATGAATTGTTCACATCCATGATTAACTTTGTTCAAATGATTGATTCATAGATTTGATATCTCAGGAAGGTTGGCTGTATTTTACAGTTAAATAATGATTCCAGCTATGTTGCATGAATCTAAATATATAAAGTATACGGTAATCTAATTGGTTTTGAGTGCAGCTTTGACGATGTGTATCTTCAAAAAGCCTGTAAATGTTGGATTGCAAACCCAAAAATACATTCTTCAATAGTGTGGTGACTAACTTTAGGCCCAGAAACCAAGATGGAAGTCGACCTTGACTGGAAGCAACAGTTTTGTTTTTTTAAACGACGGGATTCAGTGTTTTTATATGTATTGAGAACATCCTCCTACTTCTTAAGATACTTCTTGTTGATACTTTAAATACATTTAATTATGTGCTTTTACTGATGAAATATTTTGAATATCTCTTGCACCACTGATGCTAAACAAACATGCTGGGTGTGTTGCATAAAGTAAATACATCTGTGCTCTCTTTATGTCGACGTATGGGTTCTTCACATTTGACATCTGTCTGTCCTCCAGGAACAGGCGTCTTAGTTGAGAAAGAGCTCTTATGTAATAGTTATATATATATAACAGTACCAAAATCTAACAGCAGGAGCCACAGAGCCAGGACAACATTTAAGTGACTCCTAGAATAGAACATATTAACAGTGTGCTTAGAACACAGAGTTAAATGTTTGTACAGCTAACCCAACTAAGGCAATATATACCCTACATATCTAGAGGACATTTTCTTTTCTTCGCACCATAAGACCGCCCACAGTGAGCACCTCGTTTTCAAGATTACACAAGTGACAAATCTGTGATGATTGCTTCCTCGCCCTATTTCTGGTTTTCCAGCTGCTGTTTGTTCCGTCAGTCTTCTCTCTTGATGTATGGATCCTCAAAATACTCATCCTCCTCTTCCGCCTCCTCCTCCTCTAGCTGCCCATTCTCTTGCTTGAAGGTGAATGT